GTGTGTGTGTGTGTGTGTGCGTGTGCGTGCGCGCTTGCTTGTGCGTGTGCGTACGCGCTTGCCTGTGTATGTGCATGAGCGTGCGTTACATTCATGTAATCTTGCATGCAAACACACACACGTACTCACAATGATGACTATTTCTGATAAGCACAATATATAAGGTAGATAAGATAATGTCCTCTGAGATATAAGCGGCGCATCGGCTAGCCACATCGGGCACAAGAACAGAAACAAAGGTACGGGTGCGATAACAGAACACAAGAGAACAGAAGAATGAAAGGGAGAAAGGGCCGGCACGCTAACCCAACACGATCGGAACACGTTCTTGTGCAGGAGCCGCTCGTTCGGCCGGCGGACGATGCGGGGCTGCGGTCGCGTGTCGTCTCGGAAGGTAGGCCTATCGACACGGGCGCTGGGGAGATGCGGTTCGCGGCTTGGGATTTTTTTCACCGGAAGATGGCTCTGGTGTCGCCTAGCAGGGAAAAGGCTGATTGCTTGTTATTTTATGTAGTTATATCTATTTACATAATGTATTTTAAAGATTACTAGTAATCTCGAGTATTGTAAAGATTCGTTATTCGTTTTATATATGTATATGTGTGTGTGTATATATATATATATATATATATGTATATATATACATATATATATATATATAAACATATGTATACATATATACATATATATAGATATATATACATATATACATATATACATATATATACATATATATATATATATATATATATAAAGCACATACACAAAAGAGTCATCACGCCAATGCTTGAACATCCACCCCTAACCCCCCCCCTCTCTTTGTTCCAGGCGAGGCGCTCAAGTATGACCCCGAATTCCGAGGTCCCATCAAGGGCCGCTCCTGCACCGACATCCTGTGCCTGCTGCTGTTCCTGGTGTTCCTGGTGGGGTGGGGCGTCGTCGCGGGCTTCGGTGAGTTGCGTTCCGTGGGGGATGGAGATGGGATAAAGGTGTGGAAGGGAAGAAGAAGAAGAGGGGGAGATAGAGTGGTAGTGATTATGATAGTGATGTGTAATGGGGATAGTAATAATGGTAATGATGATAATGACGAGGGTGATGAAAATGATAATAATATTAATGATAATGATAATGATAATAAAAACAATAATGATAAAGATAATGATAATGATAATGATAATTATAATAAGAATGATTATGATAATGATAATGATAATGAAGGTGTAGGGGAATAAATGTATAAAGATGAAAAATATATGAAGAATAATGAAAGAAATGAGGGTTTAAGGAATAAAGATAAAGATAAAAATAATGAGAAGATGAAGAAGAAAAGGAATTAAGGTGTAGGCCAATAGGTTTGTTAATATAAGGATGAAGGAAAGACAGTCAGCGCTAAACCCCATAAAAAGGATTAAAAGTGAGGATTGCTTCCCCACAGGATAACGTCTCCGTTTACCCAATTCACGTAGGATTGCCAAAAGAGTTTCAAATCCTCTTACTCCTTGAATTTTCATTGGCATATTTATTCCGTTATTTCTCCTGACACGTTGTAAGTCTGTAAGTCATCTTGTACGAAAGCAGTCAAATTATATACAGTTCTTCCTCCGTTTTTTTTTATTGTTTAGATTTTTAACTGCGCCCCCTCCTCTCTCCCTCCCCTTCCACCTTCTCGTCCAACCAACCTTTCTTTACTGAACATCCTAAGTAAACTTTTCCCATTCATCAGGAGAAAAAAACTGAATGAATACATAGATAAATAAATAAGTGGTTAGAAAGATATTTAGGGACAAAGGTAGATAGACAGACAGACAGACAGACAGATACAGACAGGCAGGCAGACAGACAGACAGACATACAGACAGACAGACAGACAAACGAGTAGATAAGTAAATATATAGATAGACAGATAAGTAAATAAATAAATAAATAGCCATGCAAATGTATGGATAAATAAGCAGATACATAGATAGATAGATAAGTAAATAGACAGAGATAGAATTCAATATATATATAGAGAGATATATATAGATCAATAGGTCGAAAAATGATGTGTACTTCCCCTCCAGCTGCGACCAGCGGAGACCCTTCGAGACTGCTGTACCCAACAGACAGCTTCGGGCGCGTGTGCGGCAAGGACCCCGGACTGGAGGACAAGAAATTCCTCTTCTTCTTTGACCTGACCAAGTGCGCCAGCCCCAAGGTCATTGCCACCGGTTGCCCCACGCCTCAGGTCAGTTTCCGAGAGCCTAGGTAGAGTGGTTGGTCGATAAGTTGATTTTTTTGTTTTTTGTGCGTTTTGTGTTTGTGGAAGCGAACTCACTCAATCTCTCTCTCTCTCTCTCTCTCTCTCTC